GACTCCTATTTCTTTTTTTAACCCGAGAGGATCCTTGTAATTATTTCAAAGTTCACTAGCAAGGAGAGAGGATAGCTTAAGAGGAACAAACTTTTGTGTAACAATTAAAATTTCCTAAGAAATGTGGCATGTATGAAAAAGTTTAGGTAGCAGTATGTTTCAGTTAAAATGAAAAGGAACTAAAGATCTTTATGTCAGAATTCCTATTGAAAATATTAAATCTTAGAAACTGGTATGCAATATCCAGCATGTAAAAGAGTAAAAGAAGAAACTAGTTCCAACATCCCTTCTGTCCTACCATCTAGAGAGAATTCAGGTTTCCTGCTTCAATAAATTACATTTTCCAACTGAAAGCAAATTACTTTTATGTAAGATATTTACATAAAGGGATGAACGTACTTTGCAACAGGGCAAAATTCCAGTTAAGAAACCATTAAAATACTTCAAGATACGATAAAAACTTTCTAAATAATGAGAAACATTTAAAAAGTTTATACATTTAATTATAAAATACATGCATTTTTTTATGGCCCAAATTGCCAGTTTTGTTTTAACTATTTCTGACCTATAGTAGAGTCATATCATAAATTGTTCAAAATGTTTCCAGTTGTGGTATTGTTTTCGTAAGTTCTATCATCCCTGGGCAAAATATTTACTGACATATAACCAATGAGGATGCAAATAAAAATAAAATATAATAATTTTTATCATAAAACCAATGAGTAATTACACAGAGTGAAACACTCATTGAAAAGGAAGCAAATTAAAACGGCATATTAGTTTCCAAGTCCTGTGGGAAACTAGTTAATTTATATATAAATAGACCTAAAAGCAATAACCATCAGCACACCCCATCCAGAATCTTATGTGGCAAAGAATTACAGTATATCTAACACCATTAATCACATCACACAAATACCTTTATGATTTGGAAAAAACTGGGAGAAGTACAAAATTCACTTCATGCAGCAAAGGGAACAATGAACAGAAATTTAAAAAATGATTTCAAGTTTTAAATACCCAGGAAATAACAATAAAAGTTTATGGTCTAGATCTGCACTGTCCAATACAATATAGTGACTACCTATATGTGGCTATTAACATTAAAATTACATTAAAGTTTGTAAAATTAAAATTAAAATGTAGCACTAGCCATGTTTCAAGTACTTAACAGGTACGGTTAATGACTACTGTATTTAGGAGCACACAGAACATTTCTCTGTCACGGAAACTTCTATGAGACAGTGCTGGTCTAGACAATCCTAACTGTAGAGTGAAAAAAAAATCAAGTACTCTAAATACATTATTAAAAAAGGAGGCTTGGGCAAAACAGGGGTTAAGAGGTACAAACTTCCAGTTACAAAACAAGTCACAGGGATGTACTGTACAGTATAGGAATATTTCAACAACACTGTAATAACTTTGTATGGTGACAGATGGCAAGCAGAATTATCATGGGGATCATCTCATAATATATAAAAATATCAAATGACTATGATGTATACCTCAAACAGGATATTGTATATCAATTATACTTATTAAAAAAAAATAAAGGAGACTTACCTACAGATTCAATGCGAAAATCAAAACTTAGCTCAGAGGCCAGTTTCTTACTTGATTTTAGTTTTCCTTGTAGATTTACTATTTTTACAAATTCTTGAAAAAAAAGAAAAAGGAAGTCACAACTGGAAATGAAAATCTGTTAGAATAAATGTAACTTGATATGTGGATTCTACATGGATATAGAACAGTCTTAATGAAGTTCAACTATTTATCATGATCCAAGCATGACCAGTAAAAAACTGTCATTAATCTGTTTTATAAGTCATAAATGTACCATTTAGTAAATGGCAATTACACTGCTATTCTTTTTCATTTAGGATATATGGAATGGTCTCATTGTTTAAACAGCATGATGTTTCAAAGTGTCTACTTGCTGTCCAAGTACTCAGCAATCAGTTGAATTTTTCCCTTACAGATTATATAACATATGATAAGTAATATTTGCAGTAATTAATAACTTAGTATGTGAATAATATTCTACAAAGGTATACAGGGGCAAGAAATAGTACTTTTCAAGGGTCATAATTTCTCAGAAGTAAACTCTGGGATGGCGATATATACAAATCTATTTTTCATCTGTTTTTTAATTTAACCATCTTTTGCTCTGACTTGGAAGACACCTTTTCTGGAAGATACTTTCTTATCTGTCTGCCATGATTTGTGATTATAGGCCTGTCTCTACTGTTGCTTACTAAAACTGATTTATACTGTGTAGTTAACAACTCATTTTAAAAGTCTTACTCTACTCCCTTTTTAAAAACTCCAAGAAACTCAACTTTCCATTTACCTTGAATAACTGGGAAATGGAGGACCTACCTAATCAAAGGTCCTTAAAACATGTTTTGATAAGATATATAAATATTAATATAAAATATATAAAATACAAAATGAAAACTAAGCACAATTTATTTTTCTTAGATGAGTCAGAAGGTTTTTAAGGATTTCAACATTAAAGGTTCAATATTATTAAATTAAAATCTGATTATTTGCTTATCAGTACTGAACTTCCTACTTGCTTGGGTAAAAACGAGTATCTCAAATACACTTTACGGAATCAAAGAACTCTCCAATCTTACCAGTATTCAAAGAATCAAAAATACTTAAAGAAACGATGATGGATGAATGAAACACTTTGGGTTTGTTCAGCTGTCTATAGTATGAGAGGATCTTTATGATGCCCTAAGGGAAATCCACTAAGGAACTCTTTAAAGAATAGAGGTTAGGACAAAAATACAGGCAAATTAAGTTGTAGAGCAATTTTTAAAATTACCCTGCATACCTATGGGCAGGTCCAGTAATTTAAAAAATATTGGGATGGATCAAACAGCAAATATTGCCAAGTTTCAAGTATAATTCTAAGTCTGGGTGAATTTTACCTTGCACAATTTACTGTATAAAAATAAGGTGGGCTTTTAAGAACTGTACTGCGTCATTTAAAAATTGAAATAATTTCTGTTGTTGAAGTTTTTCCAGCTTCTCTATTGCTTATAGTACAACACATGTCTGTCTATTGATAGACATCTCTCCCTGCATCAAAAGAATCACAACTAGCAGGTGAGGGTGTCAAATCTGTCTGTACATTAGATTCTCACTTCTACATGAGATTCTAAAAAGTTCATGTTACATGACAAAGTAACCACAATAGTATAACCTTCTATTTTTTCCAATTATTATTTTCAAGGTAGGAAAAAAACTCTCAAGAATAGTTTTATACAAAATTTTACAAAGAATAGTTTTATATAAAACTTTATTCCAGGGTTATGGCAAACTGTTCTAATATGTTTCCAAGTAGGCCAAACAAAATAAAGAAAAAGTCCCAAAGAATAGTATTAACAATTAATTACAACATCTGTAGCCAATTTAGGATTTTTATCTATAAAACAAAACCATTTAAAGTGGAAAAGTAAAAATCTTGAATTACAGTTTAATAGAATCAATTCAATGAAACGATCTGTTATATCAAGCAGTATATTCAGAATAAACTTTAACATAGTACTTACTATCTAAACACACTAAGACGGTATCTCTCTCCAACTGTGTTACATGAATAGAATCTAGCTGTTGGCTGCCTTAGAAGGGGGGGAAAAACAGGGTTACCGTTACACAACAGGCTTTAAAAACCAAAGCTTAGAAAAGCAACACAAATTCTGATTTTTTTCCTGTGATTTAAAACCAGTCTTCGAAATTTAACATAGAAGTTGTATTTTGTAATTATGTCATCTTTCAAAAAAATGTATATAGTTCAACTTAGAAAAGAGCTTAAAATCCTAAGCATGGCTAAATGAGCTAGGGAAAGCTCAATTTTACATTTAATTAATACCTCAGCTAGTTCTAGAAAGATGTTACAAACAAAATGAAGCCAAGGGTAAATATGGGGAAGAAAGTAGATGCATGCTATACAATGACTAGATTTCGATGTGATCACAGCATCTGAGATAAAAATAAGCCAGTAATTACAAAAAGCAAAAAGATTAATGAAACTATGATCAAAGAGAAACTTCCCTGATGTCGGGGTGTGTGCAAATATAATTGGGACTTCCTTTATTAAGAGGACACAGAGTAACATCATGAACAATACTGTCAACAACATCTTTGCAGGAAGCAACTTTCATAACATTTCTGATATTCACAGGGCCACTCAGCTAATAGATGTGATGACATTTTTGTAAAACATTTTTTGTAAAACAATCGAGTTTAGGCACTCGGATTGCTTGAATGGTCTAGTTGAATCAAAGAAAAGATTTTAGATAATTTAGAGCAGTCATTTTCAATTAAATCTCTTTGGGAAGCCCATGGATCCTCTTCTTTAAAAACTGCATATTTGACACAAACACAAAATTTTACATATTATTTTGGGGTGTTTGTGGACCTTCCAAATCCCATACAAAGAGAAGTATAGCTACAGAACTGATAAACTGTTGGTTCCTCAGGCAACACTCCAATTTTTTTTTCTCAGTAAATCTATATACATGCATTTATTCAGCAAATATTTACTTAGTGCTGATAACAGATAAAGGCCATCTACGGAGATAAAGATACTACAATAATAAATCAGACTAAAACTGAAGAGAGTCTTAGTACAGCAGTTCACTTTAGCTGTTACAACTGTTGCCAATTCAAGGCCTGACCTCAAAAATGAATACAGACCGGAGGTAGATTAACAATCATTTGCAAAAATGGAGAAGCCTATGTAATAGAAGGACAATCTCTGCTAGGGGGTGATTTGAATGATTACCCTTAAGCAGAGTTCAGGCTCTCTCTCAGAAAGCAATTTGGGGTCTTAATTTTAGCCTAGGCTATGTTAAAAGTGGGTAGAATAGTACCCTCAAGACATTAAAAACCCAAGCAACAAAAAAACCCCTCAACCCCCCCCCCACAAATTCACAAGAGGACTGTCTACCCCTGAGCAAGGCAACCTCTTAATATATCATATAGAAGAAAGTGCATGCAAACACATATTAGATAACTGTATGAAATGACATGCTCTTCTTCTTGCAGTCCTTATGGGGTTGTGTGCAGGAGTTAAATCTATGTAATTTGCTTAGGGCTTTGAAGGCCAGCCTTGGCTGTGCGACTCACAGCCAATATCACTGCAGGTCACCTATTAATGCACCTAATCGGAGTATACTATTATTATACTAACCATTAAAAAAATTAAACAGGGCTATCTGCCAAAAATGATCTTGGTTTTTAAATAAACTGATCTATAACCCTTCTTTTTAGCAGTAACTACATAATAGTTTGTTTGGGCTGCTTATGTTTCAGGATAATAAAACAATGTCATTTTCATCTTTCTGTCAGCTATTTCCCTGTATCTTTAAATGGTAAAGCTTGGAGATCACACATGAGAAGCTTCTAGTCAAGTCTGAAAAGCACCTCAACTTCACGATTCTAGGAAGTAGGGGCAGAAGGGTGGGGCACTGATAGGAACAAAGCTAAATCTCTTTGCTTGAGAAGCTGATAAAATTTTAAAAGTATCTTAGAATATTTATTAAGTTCAAAAATTAACTGGTAACATTTTAAGACCTTTATATGTCAGGAATCATTAAACTCTGTCTTGGTAAAATAATTTGTATCAATAGCCTCAGGCAAATAGAGATCATAAATTATATGTACCTGTTGCTCTGGGTTTACCTGGGAAAGAAACTAGGTTGACTTTCTGAACCAGCCCATGATAACTGAGCTTATTCTGCTTCTTTTATATTCATGTTTTAATATAAGGTTAAAAACACTTAAAAACACTTACCTGCGCCAATTTCTGTAAACCATGAAGATGCAGAGTTCAAATTGATTGTCTCAAACTGAACAACCTGATTGGACTCGGTGCCCTTGCTAATAGCTACACAGACCATAGGGTATTCCTGTTCTGGTATTACCAGCATTTCAAAAACATTCAAAGGACTTGGCAAAGGAAAATCAAAGTGCTGCAAAAAAAAAAACCACAAAAAACACAGAAGTATAATTTAGAAACAAGCTCCCCATTCGTACTATTGAATAAAGCCAAAAAAAGACTTTCATTTTCTCCTTGATTGATCTACTTCAAAAAAAAAAAAAGGACTACCTCTAACATGATCATGATAAGGATGAGTTTTCTATAAAATAGTTTTAGAGAATCAGCCATATTCACCTTTATGGTTGTGATGCTTCTGTAAGTTTATTAACATAAGTTAGAGAGGAAATCTCAACAAGAATGCAAGAACCCATAAGCCAAATAAACACCTATAAATAACTATAAATGTGCTGACCCTAAATAGCAGCACTGAGACCTTATACTCTAAGCTTCAGTTACACACTAGTGCTTTCTGAAGAACACTACAAAGTAATATGTACCTTTATCAACATGAACTTCTGCATAGGCTCATACCACTGAAGTAAAACAATTCCAGACTGTAAAGCTCCACAGAGGTATTTATGTCCTGTGTAAGGGTTTCTGACTGGAAAGAAACAAAGCAAAACAGATATAACCAAAACACTGACTACCTTGATGTGAAAACATAATTAGTTTAGTTAATTAAAAGTAACAATTGAGCTATGCTAATCTAAGAGCTAACTCAACTTTCTTTATAAGGGAGGGATGATATATGGGGAAACAATGAAATGTGGCCTGCCACTGATACCACAATACGGAGGAAGAAGCTATTTTAAGTGATAATTTAGCTGGTGAAGGAAAATCATTGTTTCTATTTACCAGGGTGATAAGAGTAAGTAAAGAAAGATGATGTCTTTTCTTCTGGCTTTTGTTACTCTTTCCTTTTCACTTTCTTATCTCAATTTTAAAGTATACACATTTACTTTTAAACGTCTTCAGTAGACTAGGTTGTTAAACATAGAAACTATCTAAAAGGACAATATTTTAAGCATCAAAACACCCAAACCAGTATGCCACCTAAAGGGAGCTTTTTTTTTTTAAGTAAACTGACTGAAAGAGAAGGTCTAGGAAGCAACCGAAATCTAGGACTGCATCCTTGGTATAGTAGTTTACAGTTGTCTACTTAAGACAAGATGAAAACTTGTGTTACTAGTTTACTAGTTTTCTACCTTTTATATTTTCCTAAAGATGTAACTTTCTTGACTCAAATCTACAAAAACTCATATTGGCCTGTCCTTCTAATTTGACTCGCATTAACGATGATATATATATTGATTACAAGAGCAGTTATTTGCAATAAGCTCTACCTTAATATATTTGAGTTTATGTTTTAGATTATAAACTTCTAGACCTTTCTTGAGTCATAGATCTTGGGAATCTGATCATAGATATGGACCTGATTCTACCTAGAAAATGCTCATGAAATTTGTTTATAATGAGGAACACATGCTATGGAACTATACAGCATGAAGATCAATGAATACACTCCCCGCTTCAACAAACAGAATTAAACAGGAAGTTATGAGCCCAGGATCTGAAATCACAGACCGGGTCTGATCCCAGGTATCTGGGTATCTGACCCAGGTATCATGGGGTTGTTTGAAGGGTTAAATGAGATAAGTTAATTATACAGTACAGAATTTAACCTTGCTCCAAAAGAGGTCTAGCCTGTGCCCTCGCCCCCCTTTTGGAAGGTAATCTCTAAGCCTCAGGAGAATGTCATGTCTGATAAGAGTGTCTTTGTTTGCCTGGGGCCTTGGGTCAATGAATCGTCTCAACACTATGATTTAGAGTGGAGGCTTGCAACACTGGACATTCTTAGGGTGAAGGACAGTCGTGCCAAAAGACTGACAATGTGATTTAGAGTAGGGGCTTTGGGTCATGCAGTATGAACTGACCATCAGAGGGACTGGATATTGAGATCAGCCATCTGGACAATAAATCATGCCTGTGTGATGGCGCCCTAATAAAAACTGTGAGTACTGACGTTGGAGTATGCTCCTTGTGGCAATGCTCCACGTGCACCATCCACATCACTGCCAGAAACGTAACACTGTCCATTACTCTATGGAGAGAAGATAACACAAGCTCTATATTTGGTACTATTCCTGGGCTTTGCCCTATGCACGTCTTCTCTTGGTGGATTTTAATCTATATCCCTACCATAACTATGAGTATAACCACTTTCAGTGAGTCCTAAGTCCTTCTAGAGAATTTTTTAACATCAGGGTGGTTTTGGAAACCCCCCAAACTTTCAACTGGTATCAGAAGTGAGGGTGGTCTTGTATAGGCTGTTCCCTCTAACTTCAGTCAGCTAAAGTCCTATAATAATGTTTGTAAAGCACTAAGCAACAGTTACATAAATGAAAGTGTTAAATAAATGGTAAGTAATAAATGATAAACTAGGATATTGGCAGAGAGACAGCCTCAGGGACTATGGTTAAAAAAACCCTAAGAACACTATGTTCTGTGAAAGCATTAGGACTATTACCTCTAAACGTTTTTATGCCATGTCCTGCCATACAGTCTTGGGGTCCAATGGCCCCTTAACTACGTTTTAGAAAGAAATATAAAGCCTACCCACCTTCCTATTTGATACTAGAGGACTCTCCATCCCCTTAAAGAATTTAAAAAATGTTCAAAGTTCTAAGCGCCCAGTTTGAAAAATAGTGTTTACTCACCTATGCAACATTTGTGGCAGCCTTTCGTATCAGGAATCTTTGTTGTTAAAGCAAACTTTCTGAAAACATAGGACAATATAAATGTACTCTACTGCAGTGGTTCCCAAACAAGATCTGTGAATTAGTTGCATCAGAACCAGTCAAGGAGCTTTAAAAAACAGTTTTGGATTCTGATCCCAAACTATCTGATTTTCTAGGACTGAGGCAGGGCGTAGGAATTTGTATTTATAATTCTTCTACAGGTGATTCTCCTGCACAGTAACTCAGTTACTGTAAGTTAAGGAAACACTGATCTTTTGAATTCCATATGAAATGCACTTTAGTGTAAAATACCTTTCAAAATTAAAACAAATGAAGTTTTTTAGTGGGCAAGGAATATTGGTTGTTATAAAAATAGACACTATGGCCCTTCACTCCCAATAGAATTAAAATATTTTGTACCTTGGTAGTATGCGGTCTGGAAACCTATGAGTTTGAATATGGGCAGCTAATCCTGGTTTTTTGGCTTGCTCAAACAAAGCTATAAGATTATGAGAGTAGAGTTGAAAGGTTTTTCCTATTAAAAAAAAAAAAAAGAGAAATATGTTACCTTTACTAGAATCTTTTACAGCAGAGAAAAAAGAATTTTCAAGCAAAAGAAAACATAATTACCTTCTAAAATAAGGAGTCCAGAAATGTTCAAAGGGCCAAGCAAAACAGAAAAACACATACAAAAAAATACACAAAAAAAAACACAAAAAAACACAACACCCAGTTAATGCCATTTTGAAGGATAATAGAGTTTTAAGAAAGCAGATAACTTGTTTTCTAATACACAAATTGGGTATGTTCTAATAGGTGTTCTGGGAAGAATATATATATAAACCTTAACGAAGCCAGCACAGAAAGAAAACTGCTAAACACTGTTGTACAGTGGACTGAGTTACAATGATGCCTAAGTGAATATTTTAGTATAACATGGAGAATTCTATAAAACTATATCACTGTATTTTTCTGGGAATAGACCTATTTGTTAATAATTTATCAAAACACCTTGGATTAAAATTAATTGTGAAGAAAGTATTAAATATAACAACAGATTAAAATACTAAGAAAAGTAAAGCAAACTAATATTAATTGCTATATATCCTTGCTATAATACAAGGGCTACAATTTCCATATAATCAAAACCATAGGTGTGTTAAGCAGGGGGAGATTCCTCATTATACATGGTATGGTACTATAACAATATAAAACAGTATTTATCATGTTACTATTAAAAAACATAAATATACAGTTGACCACTGAATACAAGTTCAAACTATGTGGGCCTACTTATATGTGGACCCTTTAAAATAAATACAGTATAGTACTGTAAATGAATTTTCTTTATGATTTTCTTAATATTTTTTCTCTAGTTTCAGAATATAGTATCCAATACATATAACATACAAAATATGTGTTAGCCAACTGTTTATGTTATCAGTAATGCTTCCAGTCAACAGTAGGCTGCTGTAGCTAAGTTCCGGAAAGTCCTACATTATATAAGGATTTTCAAGTGTACCAGAGGTCGGTGACCCTAAGCCCCCATATTTTTCAAGGGTCAAATGTATATGATATAATCTTATGCTACAGTGTTGAGTCTTATCCTCAACAAAAGTCTTTGTATTTTCTCGGAATGTAAACATTCTGCCTAATACCATACCATACCCTTCTACTGTCCACTGTCTGCTTATATACTTAGCTAGCTACCCTAGCTAGAACACACATGTAATATATACGTGTGCATATCCACACAAATACAGACCCACAGGCAGAATGTTTTCTTTTATTGAGCTCTGCTACTTACCTTCAGTCATTTTAACTAGAATATGGAAAGAGCTAATTTATAGGCTAATATTCCCCCATTTTCCTGTAGTTATTTATAAATATGTAAGTTGTACTCTCTCTGTGTGTGTTTTTAAGTTTAGTTTTTAAGTTTTAAAGTTTATTTATTTTGAGAGAGACAGTGAGCAGAAAAGAAGCAGAGAGAAAGGGAGAGAGAGCATCCCAAGCAGGCTCTGTGTTGTCAGCACAGATCCTGATGCTGGGCTCGGTCCCATGAACTGTGAAATCATGACCTAAGCCAAAATCAAGAGTCAGATGCTTAACTGAGTGAGCCACCCAGCCATCCTGTCTTTGTGTGGTTTGTAAGCTTATATCCAAAGACAGGTATGAGTAGGGAAAGAAACAGTAAGAGAGTTAGAGGAAAGTGATTTTATACATATACAATTCAGAATTGTTAAACAGAATTGGGTTTATATTCATAAACCCAAGTATTAGTAGTAATATGTTAATATTTTGGTAATAAAAATAAAAAAACTGGGGGGAAGCATGCTTAAAATCAAAGAGACTCAGTACTCTCCGAGGACTCCAGCTTTTTAGAAGTCACTGATGTGCAATCAAATAATGTGCTCTTATTAAACACTGTCATCAGCTCAAATATACAAATTTCTGAAGAATCTCTATTAGGCAACAATTAGTAGAAGAGTTTAAATTATGCACACACTTAAAATTATGAAAATTACTTTTCTTAAATAGGCCACAATTCATAATAATCTGCCTATCAGTAAGGCTGTGTATCAGCACTGATGCTTTAAAGCATAAGTAGCTAGGGGTGCCTGGGTGGCTTGAGCATCTGACTCTTGGTTTCAGCTCAGATCATTATCTTACGGTTCATGGGATCGAGCCCTGCGTTGGGTTCTGCGCTGACAGTGTGGAAACTGTGCGGAATTCTCTCACTCCCTCTCTCTCTGCCCTTCTCCCACTGTGATCTCACTCAAAATAAATAAATTTTTAAAAAAAAGTATAAGTAGCTAAAATGTACATTCAATACTGAAAAGCCTGACAGTACAGTAAATAAGAGCCAGGACATAATATTCACATATAGAGAAGAACTGAACAAAATTTAAGAAATACTAAAATAATTATTCTAAGTAGAGTAAGGAGTGGATGCTATTTTAATAGCTGATAGCATTAGGATTATTAATTAAGGGACAGAGAAATAATTAACTTTCTTGTACTCTACTATTAGAATGAAAGCAAGCAGCAAACCTCTAGGTAGTCACTTAAATCTAAAAGGTAAGAAAATAGGTTTTGGTACGTAGGAATTGGAAAAAAAAAAAAAAAGCCTAAAATACCACCTACCTGCTCCCCCCGCCCTGACTCAGAACAACCAAAAAAGAAAAAAACACAAAATCACAATCCGAATAGGCTGTTCTGGAACACGCCTGTTTGTAAGTTTTAAATTATCAGTCCAAAATGGTCCAGAATAACATGAATTTTGTCAGCACATGTTTGTGCAAGTCTTCACTGCTTACTAACAAGCACTCTGAGGACATCTCCCTTCACCCTCCCAGTAACTTCATGCGACTGCTATTGTTACCACTGTCTGCATTTCACTATTAAGAAGACTGAGGCCAACAGAGGGTTACTGTTCAAGATCACAGAGAAGGGAAGCAGCAAGATTCTCTGATTCTTTCCCTTCCACCGGTGATTCTCCATGGAAGGCACGTGGTGGTAGTGACAGTGAGGGTGGAGGAGTCTGAGTGGAAGGGGATGGCCGCAGGTGACAATCACTGGGATAGTCCTCAGATGTTTACACCCTGGGCAGGTTTGGGAAGTGCTACCTTAACTGAACACAGGGTCCTTTCTCAAAGTTTCTTTCCATTCTAAGTTTGTAGAAAACATCCACAAGTTGCAAAGTTACTACGCTACGGTTACCCAGAATAACAAATAACATTTAAAAAATAATGTTTATTAAAATTATCTTTCTCTGTGTCAACTATGCTTTAATTAAAAATATTACATTTCTCTGCTTGTCTATGGTTTATTTCTCATATTATTTTCATTAAATACATACCTGATAAAGACATTAAAGTATTATTGATAACATAGAGCCAAGTACATTTCCGTGGAAATAACTATAAAGAAAAAAAGAAGGTAATTAAAATTCTCCAGTTTTCATTCCTTTATCCTTCAACATCCAAATTCCAAGTCTAAACAGTATAAAAATAACTATTTTCTCTTTTAGTAAATTACCAAAACTTTACAGAAAAAAAATCTTGTGACGTGAGCATGTAAAGAACACCATTTCATCTCTGTAAATCTTTAATCATTAAAACTGAAGCCCATATTAACTGATTTAAAATTACAAGATTTCTTTTATTCAATATACCCACACTAATTTCTTGAGTTAAAACTTCTCAATTACCTGTTCCATCGTTGCCTCATGTAGCTCATTGAGATTCAATGTGTAAATACCATCTTCAGTTCCAAAAATAATGTACTGATCTAAAATAGTTAAGATAAATCACCAGAATTGAGTATCATTTTCTGAAATAATTGAACAAAATGTCTCTGTGCTTTAACAGTATTTAGCGTTACATGGCCACCACACATCCAAAGAAAAATTATTTTCTAAAATTCATGCCATCTTCTTTACTTTCTTCTCCAATTCTTATTTTTAAAAGCAGATATAGTCTCTGTTACTCATTCACTCTGGCTTTATCTTATATAATCCTTCCTTTCAATATAATTGTCATGTCTTAAGATTTTTCAATATAACGATGCAATTTTGCCAGATGTTGCAAATACTCTTTGAAGGACACTATAAATGAAATAGAAATTATAAATCATGACACACCAGAAATGATGAGCACACCTAGTGTCCAGATATTGGTTCCTAAATATACTACTTTCCACTAAAAAGAGCCAGGGAGGGCTGCTTGGAGAAAAGATGGATTCCAATTCTGGGGCAAGGAAAGAGTAAGATGAGTCCTGAAACCATGCTGTGTCAGAAAGGTAGGAAGTGATCAAATATTAAACAAAAGAACATAGGAACTCCCACTGCTCAAAAATTCCGGGACAGGGGCACCTGGGTGGCTCAGTTGGTTAAGCACCGACTTCAGCTCAGGTCACGATCTTACGGTTCGTGAGTTCAAGCCCCGTGTTGGGCTCGGTGCTGACAGCTCAGAGCCTGCAGCCTATTTTGGATTCTATCTCCCACTCTCTCTTTGCCCCTCTCCTGTTCATGCTCTGTCTGTCTCTCTCACACAAAAATAAAATAAATGTCAAAAAAATGTTTTAAAAAATTCTGGGGCAATTTAAGTTCTAAAATAAATAATAATAGTGACAGATCATATCTCACTGAATAAAAAATAATTCAGAAGTTCAAACTAAAAAAGTACACAA